CTGCAGATATTTTTTACTCAAATTGATGTCATGTTTCTAGGTCTATGTAACACTAAGTTCCTAGTTAAGAACCAGCTAGATAATTATTAAAGTTGTGACTACTGCATATACATTTTTTTTGTCTAATCCCTTGCTTGAATGCAAGTATGTACAAGGAACTGCACAGCAAAAAGGCCTTTCACCATAGCAACGCATTTGCATTTGTTACCGGCAATCTTCTCCCAGCACAACCACTTGAGTGAGGAAATACAATGTACTACAAATCCTCCATGTTCATCTTGAACTGTAAATACATTTCTTGACAAACAGTACAAATAATATCATTTTACTACAAGATTAGAAGGTACCAGCACGAAGAACCTCCCATCTGAACCCCACTATCATCTGGATGATTACAAAACAAGACAAAATTTATAAAAAAATAAAATGAACAATCAAATTCATTAAGATTCACGTCTTGTTTGGTATACATCAATCAATGCAAAGGACAGTCTTAAACATACTTACAGCGCAAGTCACTTGCTCGCCTTCCCGGAAAAGGTAATATATCCATGTCATCTTTGTTTACCCAATCTGTACCCCTCTATAGCACGCCAAAATTTTCTTGAACGCCATGATCTTGCGGTCCATGAGCAGGTTGTGTGGTCCATGACCATCTCTACCCCTCTATAATACAGGCACATGATAATCTATTTCATCAAAATATGTTCAATCTTTTGGGAGTTTTTCCTTGCCAAAGCAAGAGATACAGGCATCAGTTTACATTACCTGATGATCATCCTTGCACAAGAAGGTTCCAGGTTCCAGCAGTGAACCAAGGTCGAGTGAATATACCAAGACTATTTGCTCGGGGCTTCACATGAAACAAAGAAAGAAAACCATTTTATTGGCACGATTTATTGTGAATTTCTGGACTGTAAATTAGAAATACCACCAGTGAGAATAGCGGGTTTTAAAATTCAACAGGAAACAAAGAAATTTTCAGTGAAAATGACAGGAAAAAGAATATAGAGAACAAACCTAGATCATCAATAGTGAAGAACTCATTTTCAGTACCATCAACCCAGCCCAGTATCATCAAATAATCTCATTTTCAGCCTGAGGTACATAACCCATCTCTTTATACTGTGCAGAGAAAAAGAACCGCCAGTTGAATTCTAGGTTCTAGACTCAATCGTAGTCTTGCAGCTACTGCACTGGAAGAACGAAGTATCAGGTTGTCTACTGGATTCAGAACAAACAAAAAGGCTGAGCTTTTACCCCACGGAGACATCCCTGATGCCGAACATGGTGAAGTAGGACCAGTCGTCGATCTCGGCACCGTACGGTGGCCGCTTCCGCTGGAGCACGTCCCTATGCTCGGACTACGTCCTTTGGGGGCCGCGTCCTCGTCTCCAGCGGCCACGGCCGCCCGCGAACGCGTCGTGCTCCTTGCGTCGGCCCGCTGGAGCACGTGCACATCTGGGTGGTGGAGACGCCCGACGCAGCGTGGCCCAACCCACGTCGCCGTCAATGCAGTTGCCATGTCTGGCGGCGCAGATCCACCCGTGAGGCCGTGACGCGGATGTCGAAGGGAGAGAGGAGGGCGATGGGGAGAAGAGAGGTTGTGAGTCGCGACTCGGCGGCTCGCGACGGGGAGAAGGGAATTTTTTTTAATAGATATACGCCCGTGGGGATCATGAATTTTTGCTCACACCTATAATAACGGATTTGATTGATCATTTTCAAAAAATAACTAAAAGCTAATGAACGATTTTTTATTTGGAACCCTAAACTATTTTCAAATCCATTCATATCATATTTATTATCAATTGAAACCATATTCTCTTTTTATTTTCTGCACACATCGTTCATGTGCTGTGACATCCACCCTCTAACACCCACGACTTGATTTCATTTCATCTGTTAGTCCAGCACGATGAGTAATTTTTTAGTGACTATGGAAAGCTGATCGAGGTCATGTGCTGTGACTACAGCAAAAAGACTTGCTGAATTCCTTGGAGATTCCATGGTTAAAGATAGAGGACTGCATTGCCTATACATCGTTGCTGGGCAGCACAAGTAAGTTTTGAAGTGTTCCAATAATTAAAATCATTTAGTTCTGCAGTCTACATATCTTTAGATTGGGATAATTGCTAATGTTATGTTTATCATGATCTTTCAAACGTCCGTGCTGGTACCCTTCATGTGATACTTTTAGCAGCTGGAGGAACATCCAATGATTCATTTTCTATTTGAAACAGTTTCTAATTAGTTTTCTTGTAGAATATTAAGCGAGATCGATTATCTATATTTATCTTGCCCATGGTTGACTTTCATAAAATATTTTGGGCACTCTCCAGTGAGCAAGCTTGCTGTTCCAGTAGCTATATTTGAGGCAGATCCTAGTACCATTTTATGTGCAAACTTCTGCTTCTACATCGCTCAAACTTTTCAATTTACTTACATTTTCTTGCTATCAGTATACTTTGCAGAGATCGCAAAGCATTATTTAAGGAAGTGGTGCAGGATCTGCTCTGATGCAAGCATCTGATCTATTGTCGTGGATCCGCCAGGTCGTATACACACGTATGCCATCTGTGCCCCACTGCTGTGCACTACATGCTGTGATGTCACCTCCAATTGCTATCCAATTGGTTATTAGGCAAGACCTTCGCTGCGACAATATGTGCCTGGATGTCAGAAAAATTGAAGGTATTTTGCCACATTTTACATGTTCCTTTTATCCAACCTGTATGTGTGATGTTGGTCTTTAATCCAAGATCAATGAGCCTAGGTTTCATATACTTATTCCACAATGCTATTTGAATCAATGAAAGAATGTATCTTTTCATGTAATTGTTTTTCAAATCACCACTACCAGATTGAAGCTTGATGCCCATAGCTATGGATCTCTTCCCTTGGTTGCCTTATTTCCTGTTGGATATGCCTCACAGAATCTTCTATAATTCGATTTATAACTCTACCAATTCAGAACAATCTTTTGGTGACATGAAAGGTTCCTAGAGCTAATATGGTAATGTCTTTTTTCTTCAACTTCCAGCTGCTACGTATGTATACAAGTTCATGTTAGATTATATTGAATCTAATGGATTCACCGAATTTGCATACGATGATTAGAACTTAACAGTAAATCATAGATCTCTGGCCTATTGAATTGGTTGCATAAACATGACATTTCCTCAAGATGCTGTAATTATAGACATGTTTTTCTCAAGTAACTCTGGCTTGCTCCATAGTTTTATGTTCTTCTCAAGTAACTTCTGTCCAAGTTTTATGTTCTTCTCAAGTAACTTTTGCATAATAGTTGATCGGTGAATAGGTATTACGCTGCTTTGACAATCCTTTGTGCTTCATCCTTTTTAATCATGGCGCCGTTAATTATTACCCAAGTTTTTATTATCTTAACTTTTTTATTCACTCCATGGTCCCCAAGCATTGTGGAGTCTACTGGCAGTCTGGCATCATTTCTTTAGTCTCAACCTGCTACTAAGACTGTTACCAGTTGTTTGCGCCTTATTAGCACATCTGTTGCATTACTTCATTAACTTGAGGTGGCATGTGTTCTGCTACAATTAGTGATTTACTCCCTCCGGTCCATTTTATCTGGCGCACACGCATATCAAAATTCAAACTCTAAAAACTTTGACCAATAATTACGTTAATACTTTTTAACTATTATAATACAAACTTTATATGATTAGATTTGTAAGGAATTATACTATCCAATGATTATAAGTTTATAAATATAGATAACATAATATAAAGCAAATGAATGGTCAAAGTGTAATCTAGGAGACCGTGTCATTCTAACTTGTGCCAGATAAAATGGAGTGGAGGGAGTATTTGTTTTCTTCTTCTTTATGTGGGGTTTGATTTGTCAATTATCTTTCTGGGACCCATTTTTCAAATATGGCACTATAACATATATTTCTTCTGACTTAGTTATAAATCAACACTGAAAATACTATTTTGCCAATCTGAAAACTGGTAGTGAGACTGAACTTCAACTTGCAGATTTTGTGATGAATATAGGCTAAATATCTTGATTGCAAAATTTATGTAGTGAAGGATTTTACATTGTTTTACATATTTCTTACGAACAACCTTCAAGACATTGTTGTGCCTATTCAGAGAGGTATGTCTCTTTCGTGGAACTTGAAACACATCATCGGATGTCCTGGCAGTGTGCCTATTCAATATTGTTTCGTCACACCTTAGATCAGAAGCCACGGATATACTTGGTCATTACTGGATACAACCTGGTCACTCCAGAATTTAGAGGCGCCACAAGATTGCACAGCAAAAAAAAAGCCAGTATAAGAGGTTAGCATGGGCAAAGATCAATGCATCTTCGGCAATTAGATGTATTCTGTTTCTTTTCTATTTGAATACTTGGTGCTATGGTTATTCTTGTAGAATATTTGTATTCTGATTATTAAGCTAATGGCATCGTGTTTGCTGCAATGATGATTTCTTCTTGCCGATATAAAACATTATTTTAGCCGCATCACGGAAAGGTCTATACAGTATAGTTTGTGAGCCTGTGACGCTATGTTCTCCGTGACTGTTAATTTCACAAACTTTGCTTTTTAATTAAATGTCACTTTAATGTTGGTATTTAATTTTTACATTATTGTTATCTTATCGTGCGATCCATGTGTTTTTAGTATAAAAGTTTAGATGTCTCTTGCTACAGGCATGAACCTGGTACGTACTCCCTCCGGTTCTATAAAGCTAGTCGTTTTGAGGTTGTCTTAAGTCAAACATTTTAAACTTTGACTATAAATAACTTCTTTTGGGTTGAGTTTGAAAATATGAAAGTGATGTAAGTAGATTCATTTCGAAATGTAGTTTCATAAAAGTATATATTGACTATATTTTATAGATATTTTATAGCAAAAAGTTACAGTCAAAGTTGTTTCTTAAAGACCGTGTCGATGTCCAAAATGACTTGCTTTAGAGAACCGGAGGGAGTATAGAAGATTGGGGTCATCGATCTACGATGATGACTTTGAGCTAGCGTCCATGATCCATGTGTCTGATGATACTGTACGTGCAGCCCAATTGTACCACCAAACTATTTCAACAGGTTGGGAGGGATGGCATTGACTTTGTGCGCGACATGCGCTGAGCGCGCTGAGCGCGCCGCCGCCCTTGGCGTGGCCGTCCATCTTGGTGACGATGACGGCGCCGACCTCGGCGCTCTGCTTGAACGCCAGCGCCTGATCGAAAGCGGCCTGGCCGATGCTGGCGTCCATGACCAGAACCACCAGGTCCGGCCGCGTGGCCTCCGCGACCTGCCGTATCTCCTCCAGGAGAGCGGCCTCCTGGCCGTGGCGCCCGCTCGTGTCAACGTTGACGAGGTCGCACTCGCATCCCTCAGCATCGGCGGCTTGGTCGTTGTTCCTGAACCTGTCCACGCCCTCGACGGCGACCTTCACGGGGTCCGACTCCGTGTAGGATCCGTAGAAAGGGATGCTGGCCTTGGCCGCGCTCTGCCTCTGCTGGTACAGGGCGCCGGCCCGGAACGTGTCGGCGCACACCAGCGCGGGGCTGAACCCCATCCGGCAGTGGTAGTCCGCGTACTTGACGCAGGTGGTGGTCTTGCCGGAGCCCTGCAGGCCGATCAACATGACCACGCTGGCCGGCTTCTTGCCTCTTGTTGGGGCGAAGGATGGCTTGCCCCCGGGCCCCGGTTCCAGCATCCTGCGCAGCTCTGCCTCGACGGCCTGCTGGATGGCGCGGCGCCTGTTGGTGCCGGTGGCGGCCAGGGACTGGAGGTTGACGGCGCTCCTGATGCTGCCCTGCACGGACCGGACCGTCTCGAAGCGGACGTCGGCCTGCAGAAGCGCGCGCGAGAAGTCGTTCAGGCAGCCGGCCAGCACCTTGTCATCCACCACCGGCGCCTTGGCCATCCGCGCCAGAGCCATCTCGATCGAGATCGGCGGGTCAAGTCACACGGATGGGTGTCCTCTCCGATCGATCCACCCCCTCCAAACCTCACGTACGTACGTCCTCCTCACCAGCGGCGGGCCGGTGGCAAGGGGCTAGCTCTTTTTCGGATGGATGGATCGGAGCAACACAACACGAGCCTGGACGGGGTTTGGGGAGCCTGCGGGATCGGGCGGGGTTAACGCGCAGACGATAAGATTAGTTGCCTTGTTTTTTAGGTGGTAGAGATTTTCGGTGGGAGCGGGCTGGCTGGGATTCGATCGCTGCTTGTCGGGCGCGTGTGGATGTCTGTTGAGCAGGAGGAGGCGGGATGATCGTTGAAGCCTGTTGATACAAACATCCTCTCCCATTGAATCGAGTTGAAGTCTGCGAGAAAGGATTAGAAGCCATAGATTTTAATGATGGTGAAATTCTGGGTACAATTTCTTGGATGCACAATGCCTAGGCTCCTCAGCGGGGACGTATTTTTTGGTATACCTAGATTAGTTTGGATTGTTCCCTTTTATAGTAGAGATTAGCCATGAAGTAAAGAACAACATAGTGTCATCAACTAGTTCAGTCGTCGCATTCCAAAATCCAAACCGCATGTTATTATCTTTCCGGGTGCTGCCACCATGACACCACTCATCCTTCCAGTCTGGTGACCTCATTGTGGATGATTTTAGGATGATGTTCTGATGATCGTGTATGTGTGTCACGAACCCCAATCGAACTGATCTCACGAGTCGAAATCACAACACAATATGGAAGCTCTCACTACTACTGGTTCGGTTTTTGCAGGCGACCATTTTTTATTTTTAGAGGCAGGCAGGGCGTCGACCTCTGTCAGGGCGCCTGCGTTAATCGCCCTTTACGGAGGCGGGCGCTATGACTGCCTCCGTTAATCATGAGAGGAAGAGGGAAGAAGGATAAAGGGTAGAAATCTATCCTAGAGCATATGCTCACCTCATGCATGAGCTTGCCATCGGTTCACTGTTTGGTTTCTCCACAATCCTCCCGTTTCTATTGTTTTTGTATTATGTTGCACCTCTCATGGCAGGTCATCATGGGCCGATATAGGATCAGTCCAGCCCACTTGTCCTTTGTCTGGCCCAATCTGCAATATATTGAGTAAGTATCATGACATCCTCCCCCTAGTAACGGCTTGACTCCTAGTCATCGTAGAAGTAACAGCGAACACCAGACCACCTTGATCCCACATAGTTTGTTGATCCTTGATGTACAATGTAGCTTCAACTTGATGTTAACATGTCTCATTTCTCCATCTTGAGATTCAAATTTCACATTTTCCCCATCTTGTACAATTGGATTTTTTCGATAGAGGAAGCTAGTTGTACAATTGGATTTGGTGTATGCCATTTTGTAGATCTAGTTCTTGTAACATGGCGGTACTCAATTGAGTAGCATGCTTACCGAAGCATTGACACTTCAGAACTATCTAGTGCTATGAAGAACTTTCCATCATGACAAAGAAATTGAAGATGTGATGCTCAATCTTGGTAATTATTTTGCTCTGTCCATTGCATGAAGATACAGTTGAATACACTTGCATTCTTCTGTGGAATTTCTAGTCCCTAGCAAATACCCAATCAATGAACTATATCACATTAGCAACTAGTATCATTTCCAACATGAATGAACTAAAGGTAAGCAGATGAGCTGAGGTGTAACACATGTCTTTGCTTCCATAAATCAATTGGATCAAGAAATGGCAAGCATGCAACTCCATGCAAATTGAACTAATCGAGAATTGAACTCCAAGCCCAAGTAGCTAGAGGCCAAGGGATTTTCATCTACATAAAAACATCAAATTCATTGTGCTTGATTAGAGATTGAAAATTGAGTGGTAGCTCTTCAATGAATTTCATGATCCAGGAAGAAAATCTGGAGTGCTCACCAAGTAACTATTGCATTGTAATCGATCTCTGATGAACCATATTTGAAGCTAATATGCTTGAAAAATTACTAATACGATAGTGGACATAGAGGTACTTGAAATCTACAGTCATTTAGAAGTAGTTCATCACCTTAGCACAGGAAAGTAATAGAAGCATTGCCATCTAATTTGACCAAGTAGTAACAATTTCAATTTGACAATCTGATTTCCATGGATAACCATTAGCTCTCCATCTTGACAGTAGCCGAAAGATGGGCAAGGCTTTGGGTGCAGTTTCAATTTGCACTAGTCATCTCTAGTTGTAGAGGTGGGACCATGGTTGGAACAATCGGACAAGGTGAGGCACTCTGCTTGATACAATGGTGAATGGATCAGATGTCTGAGAACTTGCAATTGGATCTACAACTTCTTTTGCCATATAATTGGGAAAAGTCAATTGTTGGTCCTTGACTGAATGCTTGTATGAAAGATCGCTTAACCTTAGCATCACAACTCTTAGTGTTGATCTATCATGTTGTAACTTACTTTCTTGTTTAACTGACATCCATGGAGGAATGTTTAGTTGAACTAAAATTTCTAGCAACTCAAACTGATCCTTCCAATACTTCCAATTCTTCTCCCACATATTCAAATGAAAACACCTCACGGTAACCATGAGCATGCTCACTGGCCAAATAAGTGAACAGCTAACACACAAAAGCAGTACCGCTATTCTACATTCAGGTGGTAGCCATGGAGACAACAATACCACAACACAAATTGAAATCTAAAAGATAGCAATGTGTTGACGTTTCGTACCAAGGTACCGTATCAACTAGTAAATTTAGCGTCATGTGTGGGCTTCGCTAGCACTTAGAGACTCCAGGTTTATATTGGTTCAGGCAAGTGCCCTACATCCAGTGGGGGATGTTCGATCATGTTCGATGTTTGTAGTAGGGTTTACAAACAAGTGGAGAAAGAGAGGGAGAGTGCCTCTAAGAAAAATCGAGAGAGAGTCAAGATAGAGAAAAGAAGGGCCCCTTGTTGCCCTTTATATAACCGAGGGAGCAGGGTTACAAGGGGGAGAGAGAAACAAAGAGAGAGATTTTCACATGGTCGTGGATCCTAGGAAATGGCGCGAGCTACTTCATGGTACATTCCTTCGAGGGAGGCCTTCTACCCACGATGTGTAGGGCAACATATGGCTTCGAAGTCTCCTTAGCCAGGATTGCTGATTTGAGAAGAGAGAAGCAATAGTGGTTCGAGCATGCTGAATAGGTAGGATAGCACAATGGATGACTTCCTTACTGGTGATGGAACGCACATAATGCATCCATGACCTGGCATTGGACACTTAGTGGGAACTACTTGCAGAAGCTCGATAGAGGCAATAACGTTAGTGAGGACGATGTGCTCAGATAGAGGGTATCCTCAGGGCTTCTTGGACGGTGCTGAGGACAAGGCCTCAAACACCGGAGCGCGAACGACCTATTAGGGACATGGTGTTGAACAGTTGGTGTGTGCCATCGCAAGGGTTGGTGATGGCTGCATTTGGTGGTGATGAAGAGGTTGACAAAGCCGTGAAGGATGTTGTTGTCATTGAAGACATGGGCGGCACAAAGCAAGATGTCGGCGGCTTGCTAGTGCTTGAGGTCACGTCAACGTTGGCTGGGTTGTCATCTGCGCTTGGGGTACTATTTGCAGCAACATAAGTCATTGCAGAAGATGGAATCATAATCCTAATAGTGTGTTTGACCTCACTAAACTCCAATGGATTGGAACTAAGCTGTCATCAATGGCATGGGTTATATTGGAGATGGTGAATGTCACAAGGAAGTCCTGAAATTGCTCTCGTGTCTCTTTTATGGCAGGAATTGCTTTAGTGTTTTATGGCAATTCATCCAGTACCTCAAAGCTAATATGGACCATCTATTTAGTTTGATCCGAAGGGTAAGGATAAGTTGTTACCTCCGAGGAATTGGAAGGCATCGATCCTATCGAGTTGAAAGTATCCTGGTATGTATTCTAGAATCTCAGAGCATCTCCGAGAGTCATTTTAAAGCTCACCCTCTAAATTAATAATCATCTATAGAGTCATTTGCATAAAAGTCGCTTTCTATATCTTTTCATTTTCCAACAGTTTTTCTATATCTCATGTGCTCTCTAGAGAGGCATTCTCGTTTTCTATCTTTGGCTAGCGAAAGATCCAAAATATAAGATGGCTAAATTTGGATAACTAAATATGAAAGCCGTTGGAGGGTTTTTTTTAATCAAAATCACTATTCCTAGTAATTAGGAAGGATATGGAGAGTCTCTTGTAGTTGCACTAATATCTTATCATGTATCCTAAATTTTATAGTATCCACATCCCGTATAAAGGTTCCTTACGGTCCTGTCGATACTATAAAATAATTAATTGTTAAATGAATCTATAATATAAAATACTATTTCAAGACAAGAAACATTGAATAACAAGAAGAATTGCACTTAAATGTAGAAAAGGCAAATTAAATAAATCAAAATTAGGCTTAAATGTTCACAGCATATTACAAATCTTATGTACAATATATATCTATAAAATCTGATAGAATCTTAATACGATGATTTGACCTATGGTCCAATACGGTCAAGGAAAAATGATTCTACCAAGAATCCTGATCCTAACAAACCATGCTCACCGCTATAATACCATAACTTGCTTTGATGCAGGGGAATTAGTGATATCTCCATCCGCAGAATTATGCAATTCTAGTTATATCTTTAGTAAAACTATCTAAATTTGACCAAATTTGTGAAAAAGTTGAATATTTATTTCATCATATAAGTGCATTATGAAAATATACTTATTTGATATTGTAAATTTGGTCACAAAAGAGCATATGGTTGACATAAAAGAGTATAATTGAGATCCAGTTACATCTGGAAACGTTGTGTGTTCTATTTTCATATACAAAATCTTGCATCCCCATGTAGCAATGCTGATTTCCATATACCAAAGCTTTCAATACATGGCTTGCAAACAAAAATAATTTAGAAATAACGGCTTCTCAATGTGATTCACCAGGTATATTTCACCTGACTTACATTGAAATTTTGCTAAAA